TTAAGTCACAACTTCTTGCTACTGGGGTTTCTCAAGGCTCAGTGTTTGGACCACTTCTTTTCTCCATCTACATGTCATCTTCAGAAGCATATCATTGCTATGCTGATGTAGCGTCTGGACCAATCAAACACACAATATATATTTTGTTAGCTATATTTAACAAATACTCTGTAACACCCCTCAGTTAACAAGCCATATGAGGACCTATGGACCTTTCCCCCGAAATGCATAACACCCTAGGATGTCTGCAACGACACCAGGCCCCCCCTGGTCCCCATGGCAACTAATGCTGATATCACTGGTTTTATGACCCACAGGAATGTGAGTAGGGAAAATCACTACCTTTTTATAGGAAGAGAGAAGTTTATTGTTAAATTAGAGAAGCACTCACAGAAGTGCTTATTTAATGCAACAAGTCTTGAAGGACTGAAAGCACCATGTTTTAAAACTGTGGGCAACTTCTTTGAAATAGGCAGACACTAAACTGTTTGAATTGCAGTGGCATGCACTGGTTACCATGACAACAACTTGTCACAGAAAGCACTAACTTCACATAGCACACGCGACGCCATGTTGTAAACAAAGGCCAACATGCCCAACAGCGAAACCTCGACCAACTCACTTCAGGAGGACAGGTGACACAGCCTCGACACCTGCTGCATAAGCTCGAGGACCCGCACCTTGCTACAGCCTACATCACCACAGGGCACCACCTGACAGCATCCCCCACGGCACCACAACCACTCCTGGAGGCACCAACAGCCAGAGAGCCACCACTGTCTCCCAGCCGTGAGTGGCAGATGTCCACACGCAGATGTCCATATTACCACACACTACTTGAGAATTATAGAAACCCTATTAGTAGCATCTCAGATATTTATAACAAACGAATTATGAAAAAGCTTATTAATAAACATACAACAAAGTACACTAACGCTTTAATTAGAAGACAACTCACCTTCTAAAAGCAATCTATTTATTACTTAACTTACCCTGAAATCAAATAACTTGACTTTATGATGGATTGCTGCATAAACAGAAAAAAAATTATAGCTATATATTAAGTTCCAGGTGCTGAACCAAAGGGAACGCTAATCACTATAATGGTGAGTTAAAAAAAAAAAAAAACATTTTAGGAAAATCAACATCAATTTATGAAGTTAGCTTATGTGATGTTCTCTCAAATATTTCAGTTGTATTGAAAATTCAACATTCAGTATGACTTTGGGAAATGAATGAATGCAACTAGTGAAAGATAACTGCAGACATGGAGGTCTATTAA